GAGGAATTACTAATTAGGGGAGAGCAAACAGGCCAGATCATGACAATAATTTAGAGGACCTTGAAGTGGATCTGCTGCTTTATGGAGCCAATGAAGGAGTTTTAAGAGGGGTGTTGCACAGTTCTTTGAATGTAACTCTCCTTTTGCCTTTTAAAGGAGTCTCTATTGTCTCTCTTACTTTTTTCAGACATCCTAGCTGAGAGCCTAATAACCAAAAGCATACACAAACACACACAAGTACATGAGACCAATTCAAAGATTTGTGTAAATTAATGCACCACCTTCTAGAATACATGACCCAACAGAAGCGAAAATGGCTAATTTATAGTAGCAGATTTCCTCACTATCTGTCATCTTTTACAGACCCACTTTTTTCTGCAAGATTATAACTCCTGGACCGTTTAAGATATCTAAAAAATCCAAGAACGAAGCAGAGAAAAACACTTGTGACCCTACAGTTCTAATTACAGTACTGTGTACGACTTCATCAGCGCTGTGACCATACAGTCACAGAACTGATTCAGTGGTGCATCAGATGTTTGTAAAGTGAGCTTTTCAGGAGTGACAGCAGTAACAGCTAAACAACCAGGAAAAGACCAAGGGCCCATCAGGAGTTTGTAGGTGTTCTAAACTCGGGAGTTGGTCGTGAGAGGCTAATTGCATCTCGTTACGCCCTGTATACTACACGATGCAGGACGCTGATCAGTTCTCGCACGACTGGAGAATCATCCCGAAAAGGGCAGAAACTTGTACAGTGTATGCCCGGCCTTAATCCAAGTTTGTACTCTCAATGCTTAAAGACATCCACACAATGTGATGGGAATGTTATCTTGAGATGTTCTGTTATTATTTCAGGACCTTTGAATGTCTATGCTTTGGCTTTTTTTTTTTCAAATTTCATGTATGTCTTCATATGTTTTTTTTCAACAGCCAAATGCCAGCTGAAGTGTGCTGAAGGCCATCCAAGTGAGGACTGCAGCATTTGTACGTGTGCGGATCATGTGGTGTTCGGAGACATTCAAACTGTGACCGGAGTCCCTGTGGCAGGGGCCACTGTGGCTCTGACCAGCCACCCTAAAGTCATCAGCACTCTGACAGACAAGAAGGGGCAGTTCACACTCTCAGGAATCTGCTCCTCAAGCTCAACCTTAATTACCATCAATAAA